CAGAAATGTAAGGTTTCCTGATGTAGGAAGTAGTATTTAAGCACATAGGTATCTGAAAAAAGTACAGATGAGACAGGTACTTAGCATGTACAGATGCTAAAGTGCACACGCTTAGCATAGTGTACACAACAAGGGGATTAATGTGTTAAAATATGGAATGAAACCTCCTCTTAGCACTTACTGCAGTCATTGCAGACAGAGGGTATTACCACTTGCTTTCATGTTTGCCTGGGAACTCTGGGCGGTAGCAATGAGCCACTCCTGAGAAAATATCTTAGTTTGGTAATTACTAAACACATCTGATAGCACCTTCTTTTCATAGGGTCATTTACTTCCTACAAGTAAAGAAATAATCTTCTGCTGGGTTATCTCCTTAGCTGTATGAGCGTGGAGCCGGATGAGCACCATTGCCTGTGCGGAGGAGAGGGACTGATGCAGTCTCGATCCACTTAGACCAGAGCTTAGGCAAGTGCGTCTGGGCAGCTGGAAAAGCATCCAGTTACTCATTTTAGATCAGGAATACGACTGTTTCACCTCTGGCCTGTTTGCTGTCCTGCAATTAAAAACTCAACCTCAAATCTATCCTAATTCTTTCCCTTTATTTTGCTGTTAAGCTTGTATAGTTTTGTGAGGGCAAGGCTCATTGGGGTGCCAAAGAGTAGATTTGGTTTGTTAGCTTCCTTGGAGGCAGTGAATTCAGATTTTATTTCCCAGATATGGACACACCAACTGTGGAGAAGGTGTCGTCTTGGCTCCAGAACTTTGAAGAAAACCTCTGTACCTCCTCATCCCTATGGGCCAGCACGTTGGCTGTCAGAGGTACCCCAAGAAATCAGTCATCTCCTGCTCCGGTCAGAGGGAAAGGGAGCCCCAGGCATATGCCACGTGGTACGCTCTGTTTTTTCCTGAGTGACCAAGGGGAGGATGTGAGGAAATGCGACGGTGAACCCGCCTTTAAGTTGGAAGCCCATGTTCGTGAACTAAGAGGGCAGACAGCTGTTAAGAAGGGGACACCCAAGAAGGCCGTCAGCGTAGTTGCTACGGAGACACAAGAAGGCAGACAGCTATCTCCCAGATGTAAAATTAAAATCACCTCCCTTGATCCTAGTGAGGGGACTTCTGCTCTGTCACTGCGAGGGTCAGACAGTGAATACTCTGACCAGAACCAGGAATAGAGGGTCCCTGCCTTCAGCCAGGAGGAGGAAAGGGATGACTGGGTATACTGGACTGTGTGGATTCGATGGCCTGGCACATCAGACCCACAGAAGTATAAGGCTTTGGTAGGCACTGGTGCACAGTGTACACTGATACCATCAGGGTATAGGCGCACAGAAGGCATCTGGATCTCTGGAGTGACAGGGGGATGCCAAGAGCTGTCCGTATTGGAGGCTGAGGTGAGCTTAACAGGGGACAAGTGGGAGAAGGACCCCATTGTGACCAGCCCAGAGGCCCCTTGTATCCTTGGCATAGATTACCTCAGGAGAGGGTACTTCAAGGACCCAAAGGGGTACCGATGGGCTTTTGGTGTAGCCACTGTGAATGCAGAGAAGATCAAACAGTTATCTACCCTGTCTGGTCTGTCAGAAGATCCCTTTGTTGTGGGATTGCTGCAAGTTGAAGAACGACAGGTGCCAATTGCTACCAGGACAGTGCACCAGCAGCAAAATCGCACAAATCGAGACTCCCTGGCTCTCAGACATCCATGAGCTGATTCATCAACTAGAGAACCAGGCAGTCATCAGCAAGACTCATTCACTTTTTAATAGTCCCATATGGCCAGTGCAAAAGTCTGATGGAGGTTGGAGGTTAACAGTGGACTGTTGTGGCCTGAATGAAGTGACGCCACCACTGAGTGCTGCTGTAGCAGACGTGTTAGAGCTCCAATATGAACTGGAGTCAAAAGCAGCCAAGTGGTATGCTACAATTGACATCGCCAATGCATTCTTCTCAGTTCCTTTGGCAGCCGAATGGAGGCCACACTTTGTTTTCACTTGGAGGGGTGTCCAATATGCCTGGAATTGACTGCCCCAGGGGTGGAAGCATAGTCCTACTATTTGTCATGGACTAACCCAAATTTTTAAAGGACTGTGGTGGTTTACTCTCGGCTGGATGGCCAGTGGCGACCAAGCTGCGCTCTTCCTCCTCAGCAAGGCAGGGAGGGGGGAAAATAAGATGGAGAAACAACCCCAAACTCGTGGGTCAAGATAAAGGCAATTTAATGTAGCTAAAGCAAAAAGCCACACACGGAAGCAAAGCAAAAAGCAAAAGATTATTCTCTACTTCCCATCAGCAGACGATGTCCAGCCACTTCCTGGGAAGTAGGCCTTCAGTATGCATACTCCTTACTCCGGAAGACAAACATTGTAAAAAAAACCCGAATGCCCCCGCCCTGTTCCTCCCCCCGTCTCTCAGTTTCTTATTGCTGAGCAGACATCATACGGTATGGAATATCCCTTTGGTCAGTGTGGGTCAGCTGTCCTGGCTGTGTCCCCTTCCAAGATCTTGCCCACCCCCAGCCTGCTGCTGAGGGGGGAAAAGAAATGTTGTAGAGACAGCCTTGATGTGTGCTGGCACTGCTCAGCGGTAGCCAAAACACTGGTGTGTTATCAACACCTTGCTAGCTACCAATACACAGCACAGCACCATGAGGGCTGTTGTGGGGAGAATTGGCTCCATCTCAGCCAGACCCAATACAGCTTCCTTGGAGGCAGTGAATTCAAATGAAGTCCTGTGTGCTTTGTGCCCCTTGGGGCATGTTTCTTTCCTGCAGTGCCTCGAGGATAGGCAGTGCCATTAAATGTAGAGTTTTGGGAAGGAGGTTTTCTGCAAAGAGCAGACAGGTGAAAGATGCCTTGTGGTTCTGAGTAAAATCATTAAACAAGGGTTGCACATGACATTTTGGCTGGGAAAGTAAAATAACACCATGTTAACATAACACATGCTCTTGTGGACGGATACGTTTTGAAATGGAAAAGGGATCACCATACTTTTTCTGGTATGATACTAGGGATTGACTCTTGCTCCTATAACATATATCATTTTTATTGGTGATCTGAAAGAACACCACTTGCACCTTCTTGGTGTCCTTTTCTATTTCCTCCTGAATGATTTCTTCAATCGGAGGCACAAGTTTCATGTTTCCTCTCATTTTTCTAACCTCTTTATTTTTTTCATGGCCCTGTCTCTTGGAAGACAGCTTTTGATTTTAGGGTGGGGTTTTTTCAGATGACTGTTAAGCAATATAGATAAAAGTTTCTTGGAAAGCTTGAATCTTAATACCTTTATCATAGGGAAATCTTTCAGGTCCTTTGTTCTGTCTGTTAACCTCTGCTAGCAATGGGTATTTGGTAGCAGAGGTCAATCATTCCATTGCTGTCAGGTATATGAAGATGTAGCATATAGAAAGCTGAAGCTAGATAGCTTCAGTCTAAAAATAAGTTTTAAATGAGGCCTGTTATCCCATCTAACAACTTTTGGCATGCTGTTGTTCATTCTGTATGGGTAAAGATGTTAACTCAAGGCTAGATGTTTATTAAGAAATAATAAAATTTGCTCCTGTTCAACCACAGCCATTAGTCTCAAGGTGCTAATCACTTATCGTAGTTTTTTGTAACTTTAGAAGTTCTGAACCTGTTCTGTAATTTTTGAGAAAAAAAGACTTGGATGAAGTCAGATGCTAGTTTTCGGACTGTATATGTGAAGAGAGAACAGTTTGAAGACCAGATACTCAGTCTGTGTTTTCACTTATATAAGCTTAAAACAATTTAGTTATTAACAGTTTAATAATTGAACAAATATAAAATGTTTTGCATTAATGTGAAGTTTGCTTCAGGTTTTGTAGTATTTTTAAGAAGTGATAGAAACCAGAAGAATGCTTCAGAAGAACAATTAAAGTCTTTCAAAAGCTGACTGGTTTTATTTTTGTCCTCCACCAGAAGCAAAAGCTTAAGGCATTTTTTTGTTAGTAAATAACATCATACTTAGGGTATTGACAACACTTTTGTTTACACAGTAACAACTGTGACTTTGGAAATATTTTAAAATTATCTTTCTCATTATTATTATAACAATGATGACATCTCTTGTAATTGAGGAAAAATAAAATTCCAGTTGACAGAGGTATTACTGTAACAATTGTTATGACATGTTTTGTAGTTGAAGGAAAATAAAATTGCAGTTGACAGAGCAATTAACTGTTTTGATAGTTTTGTTTTTAAAGTACTTGTTATGCAAATATTATAGAGGAGATGTGTTTGGGTTTTTAAGAATCTAAAATCCTGAGAACAAATAAAAAACTGAAAATCAGACAAGCTATTTTTACTAGTTGACAAAATATAAAGCTAGAGTATGTTCTAAATTTGTAAATATAAAAAGTATGTAATAAATTGCTAATTATGCACTACTTTTTCTTTAATAAAGGTAACAGTTGAATTTTAGAATGGAAGGTTTTTTGGTGCTGTGAACTGAATGGTAAAACCAACAGAAGAACAATATTTTCAGTAGTTCTTTCTTCTTGGAGTAAGTTTGTATATATGATTCAACTTAAGAATAATAATTTAATTGCTTTCATTCAGCTTTCATGATACATAGCTGCCCTTCGTTCAGAGTTAAACATGTTATCTTTAATAGTGATGAAAGTTTACTTTAGATGTTCAAGGACTGGCTTCATTGTGCTTTGCATTTCTGTCTCACCACTTGGATTATCACACTAGGTCAGTGCAGTGCTCATTCCTATCAAACAGCATCCACAAAGTCAGAAAACAGAAAACCAAGAATCTAGGTTTTGGCTACCGTAATACCGTGTTGGAAAGTTTAGCATGAATTTCTGTTTGTTTGTTGAATATACCTATTAACTGCAACCTAAGCTTTTTCCCCAGAACTCCCTTGGTTATGTCTTCTGTGAAATGTTAGCATTTGCTGTAGCATGCAGTAGATTTGCTTGCTCATTGAGTTCGTTCCTTTCAGAGGTGGTGGTGGTGATGACCATTGTTTCTTCTTAACAGCTGTGTGTTCAGAGGCACCTGTGCATGAGGAGAAGTTTGTTCTATGGCCTCAGAGCTGGGTGCCAGGGAGGATGGCAGCTGCTCAGAGCTGGCAAAACCCCTTTATCTGCAATATCTGGAGAAAGCTCTGCAACTGGATCAGTTTTTACGACAGACGTCTGCCATCTTTAACAGGAGTATATCCAGGTACCAAAACCATTTCAATTTTCCATTGGGAATACCAAGGAAAGACATTTTTATTACATTGTTTCCAGCAACACCATATTAAGGGTTTAGTTGTGATTTGTTCATTATAAACTCTTCTCCTTTAAAGATTTTGCACTGCTCTTCTCTTAGCTCGCACTGATAATTCAGTATGTTGCCAGCCCAGGTACACATTAGCGCAATGTTTTAAGCTCTTTTTCATAGCTGAGTGGCCAAAACTTTCTTTGTCTGCAAAAAGTAGGATGAAGAAGCACTAAGTTGATTTTTCAGGGACATAGCTAGTAGCCATAAGTGAAATGCAAAGACTGTTGTCAGACGCAGTATTTGTGTGCGAGTTGTAGCAGCGAGAAATGAGTCGTCAAGGTACGTTTCTGTCCTAAAGCAATCGACATTTAATTTCATCAGTGTTTTGGAACTGTAAACAGAACTGATAACTGTATGGCTAATAGATAACAGGTGTATTTACAATCATGTGTTAAGATCCACGCAAGGAGTAGAAAAAGTATAGCTTTATATTTTTCACATGTACATCCTCAGTAGTGCTGAGGATGACAATATTGCGCTTTGTTTTTTCTTGATATTAGTTTCTTGCTTAGTTCATGCTTCTCAAATTAGATACCTAGTTAAAGACTAAAGGTGCGGGTTGATGATATAGCCAGGCTGGTCTGATGATTGACTGTTGCTGAGGGGTTAACGGGAAATTCTTAACAGCAGTATTTCTAATGTGTAAAATTACATCTGAAGTGATATCAATTCTCACACCTTTAGACAAATGACCACGTGTAAGAAAGTTTCATGGGCATCTCTTCTTTTGAATATTTTCCTTTCTTTGCCACCATGTTACGTATCTTCTTGTAGCGATGAAAGTGAAGATGGATTGGATGACAATCCTTTGCTGCCTCAGTCTGGGGATCCCCTGATGCAAGTTAAGGAAGAACCTCCAAACTCTTTGCTTGGGGAGTCTTCTGGAGCAGGGAATTCCGGGATGCTGAATACGCATTCCCTGAATGGAGTACTGCAGCCAGGTAGGCATGCACTAGGTTGAATCTGCTTTCTTTGGGATAAGCTGGGAAAAGCATTATCTCTTAAGGACTTTATTTGTACTTTTTCTCTAAACAGAACCAAAGTCTGAAAAAGGGAGCTTGTATAACTTTTCCAAACTGAAAAAGAGCAGAAAGTGGCTGAAGGTAAGAATATTGGAAAGAAATACAGCTGTTATGAAATCTGTGAGTGGAGTCCTAGTTCCTATAGACAGTGGTGAGTGATTCCATCTTGTCATCTGATGTATGTCATGGTGTAGAACCATGTAAGCAAGCAAACAGCAACAAGAAAATAAGTTGAGCACTGGTCAGAGCATTACCTCAAATTACCACAAATACAGTTTCCAAATACTGTAAGTTTACAGTACATTTACAGTAAGTTTGTTCTCATCTCAATAGTCCATTTAATTTTACTTAACGTGTACTACTGAGAGCTCAGAAAGCTAGACTAATATGTTTTAAGAGCTGCCCTAAATCATGTGATGCAATTTAATTGATGCAAAATCTCACACTGAAAAGGAAGCATAAGGTGATATAGACATGTAGTAATGTTTTGTGTTGCTGAAAAGAGGGCTCCGAAGGAATTCTGTAGTCTTGTTCTATATTGGCTTGGTTTTTGCTGCACTTTTTTTTTTTTTAATGTAACTAGAGCTAGTGTCCCTTGCTAAGAAGAAAGGGATTTTTTTGTGTTTTGGTTTTTTTCCATTAAGAAAAAACACTTACCAAAGCAAAAAATACATTCTACAGAGGCTTCTCATTTTGGACATGGAGAAAAAGAAGAGTATGTGATAGTTGATAATGAATATTTTATTAGACTTTGGGTAGAACAAAATAGAATTACAGTCTCTGCAGATTTGAGGCTTTCATTTTGATCGTGTAGCAAAATGGACGGTAGACATTTCAATTCTGGTGAGCAGCAGCATTGTAGTTAAATTTCACAGTGAGTATACATTCAGAAACTTGAAGTAATTTTAGTACACTGCCCAAATTAAAACAAGCTATTATGAAATATATTAAATGGACATTTGAGGCTCAGCTGAAAATTTGTTTCTAAGATGAACTCAGTACAAGGTCCAAATGAGGATGGAAGGGGAGAGTGGAATGGTGGCTTTATGCCGTCTTCACATGTTCATTGTACTGTAGCCTTCCCCTAGGTGGGAAAAACAGGTTGTCAACAGGTCAGACAAGAGCCAGACCTGCTGCAACTGATGTGGGCGGAAGTGGTAGAATAGCAGGACAAATTACAAATGGGGTAGGAAGGCATCACAGAATGCCCCTACTGGTATCCTGGATTTTCTCACCACTGAAAAGAGCGTTCTGAGACCACAAACAGGCGAAGTGGATTCTGAAATGACTTAACTATCACCAAACTAACAGAAAACTACCTCCCCGAAATCAGAAAATGTGTATCGGATTCACTGCTACACAGTACTGTACCTCAAAAAACTCTCATTCAATTGAGTTATTTCAGATGGAGGATACTTTGTAAATGCTAATTATTGTCGTTGGGCCAGGCCTGCAGCCCTTTATTAGGTAAAGGCTCAAGAGTGCTTTGCATAAATAAACAATTCAGTGTAGGGACTTGTGATTATTAAATTAGTTTCCGTTTATTCTTGTTAGAGTATCCTTCTGAGCGATGACTCCAGTGATACAGATTCACTAAGTGATGAGGATGGGGAGGAGGAAGAAGAATTTTCTCTTTCAAGGGAGGAACTTCACAATATGCTGCGATTACACAAATATAAGAAACTGCATCAAAGTAAATATAGCAAAGACAAAGAGGTAAAAATTTTTACATTTCCTTGATTTTTATTCTTTTCTTTAGCTGTGTTATTCTAACTGCTCTTACATTTTTCTGAAAAATAGTAATATTTTGTAGACTAGAAAATATCCTGTTCTTTGGTAGACAAGAACAATCTAACATCAGTTTCAGACAAGGGTTATTTAAGTAATTACATACAGACTGAAAAACTGTGATGCCTTACGCTGAGAATCTGTCAGTAATTTGTGTAGCTAGTACTGGCACATGTGTTATATATAGCTTCCACAATGCTCTATCCCAGTCACTAGAGCAAATATAGGGTGCTAGAATGCAAGATTTGGATAATGTACATGAAAACTGAGGTGCTGTGGGTTAAATTTTAATACAGGTAGTAGCTGCTGTTCAAAACTAAAATTGTATATTTAAACCTAAAAGAGTGTACTTGCATCATCATTGAGGTGATGAGTAGTAAGGTGATGTTTATCTTCTTGAAAGGGAGTCCCTAGTTTTCTTCCTTACTGTTTTCTGTCATTCTTTGGGGTTTTACTTGACTTTCTTTTTTTCTTTCTTACCTTTCTTTTTATATTTTGGGTTTTCTTCTCATACTCTCTTTTCCCCCCCTCTTACAAGAAAATAGTCTGCTGCATTTTTGCATTATTCTTAATATTAGGCCAAATTCTATGACTCTTTTGATTCTAATAATATATTTCTTCAAATTATAAGGGCTTTATTTTCATTGCTGTTTTGAATTGCACCGGACAGTGGTCTCAGATGAAGGAAATCATCCTATTCTGCTGTCGGAGGATGTGTCTGAAATTAAAATTTGTCTTCTTGTTTCATGTTCTTTCGAAATTTCTCTGGAAGAGTGGAGAAATATTTTCCCACCCAGGTCTTCGTTTCTGTCCACTTCTTTCCTTTGTTTACTTGTTAAGTTCTAAACTGAGATTGTGTTAGCTTCTTGAAATATTACATTAACTATACAATTGTTCATACGCCAATTTTTTACACAGGTCATAACTTTTGTTAGATTTTACACAAATATTTATTTCCAGTCTAGTAAGAAATAACATCCAGTGAAAATAACCAGGGTATTGTCAGATGAGCAGTACACAGTTATGGGGGGGAGGGAGGGGAACACATCTGTCCAAAACAAGTTTGTTTATGCTGATGTTCTCACCTTTCAAAAGTCTTTCATTAACTTGATAGTAAACTTAGATTTTAAATAGTTTAATTTTGGACCTGTACTGTCTCGAATTTGTTTATACATAACCTGTATATAGTTCTTTAATATTTTAGTTGAATAATGCTTGGAATATACTGACCGTTTTGATAATTCGGGAAAAAAATGCTGAGGCAGCTGTATTTTTACTGGATAATCTGACTGTTCAAGTTGTTTGCCCTTGTGTAAATCTTTTAAATGCCTTTTATCTAAACCTGTCCTTTGACATCCTTCAGAATGCATAAAGTAGAACATGTATCTGATTTGGGAATGCAGGCAGAACAAATAGGGGGTTCATGATTGGACCACTTCATGTGATGTGCTGTCTTGCAGGGCAGCACCCATATGGAAAGATAGAGCAGTATGTTTTGAAAGTGTAAGCTTCATTGCCCACTCTCCCCCTCTTACTGAATGGGGTGGGCTTGGCTCCATGTGTGGAACTTGGGCGTCACCTCAGGAGTAGTGTTTTCACTTTGGACACTGTATGATGCTTGATAACAATGCTAAATACGGCGAAGTGCATGTTACCTGATCTCTTATTTATGATCAAGATCTGAACTTGTTTACTTGCTGTCTCTGTTATCTGCTATATCTGTTTTCCATTACTGTGCTCATTTTCATCCATTTCAGTTGCAGCAATATCAGTACTACAGTGCAGGACTGCTGTCTACACATGATCCTTACTATGAGCAGCAGCGCCATCTGCTAGGGCCCAAGAAAAAGAAATTTAAAGAAGAGAAAAAATTAAAAGGTAAAGTCACTAACCTTGTTTTTAAATGGCTGCTGTGATTAAACGTCTTTCCTACATTATTTCCTTTGAATAAACATAAATGTTCAAAACTTTTGGGTTTTGCCTGGAAATAACCCAGTTCTGTCAAAGGAAAAAAATCTTTAGAAAATACCATGCTTTATCTTCGGGCTTTTAGAAAGCTAGGGTGAAAAAAAGGAATGTGAATTGAGAGTTCAGGGCTTTAGATTTTCTTTGTGTACCTCTGAATCTAGAATAAAAGAGTTATTCAGTAAGTACCTTATAGCTTTACTCATTGCTTGGGAATCCATAAATGGAGTTGTGTATTGTGGCCCATTTACTCAAGAGTTTTTTGAAAACACAGTAGTTCCTTGAAAAGTGTAAGAACTTATCCAGTACCTAATGCAGTTATTCTTGAATATGTAATTCTAGTGAACAAGAAATGATAGGGAGTGCAAGTGTTTTCTGGAAATTAGGGGGAACTCAGAATTGATGTCCAGTGTGAGTTAAAATAGAATTACTTCTGTAATATCTCAGCTGGAGTTTCTCAGATGCACGTTTGCCAGGAAGTACAGTTTCCTTGCTTGATTGAGCTGGCAGCAGCTGTAAATCTGTAAGGAAGCAGGAAGAGAAGGCTATGAACTGTCAGCGTAAGGTGAATTCTCTCTAGTGCAAGTACTTAAGTTTGAGCTGTGTTTTAAGGGCGCTATTTTGGGCTTCCTTCCTTCCTATCTTTCTGCAAGTTCCTTTGTGTATTTTTTTCTCCACTAATCTTGTAGCATCCATGATTTTGCATACTCACAAAGAATATTTTTAATATCTGATACCAGTATCAGTTTCCTCCCAAAGGTGGTATCTGTAATACATGAGAACATGCCGATCTATTTCAACTGCTAAGAAGTTTGGTTTGAGAATTATCCTACCAAATGCTAATGTTGTTACCTTTAAACGTCTTACCTTTACATGTCTTTAAGTAGAATTTTACCACAAAGCAGAGACATTGCACCAGGTCCCAGACATTTTAACTCCTAAGGCATGTTTCCTTGGGTGGAAAAATTGCATTTCACCACTGTATTTATTAAACATGAAAATCTTTCCATTATAAGGTAATGAGGAAATATCTACTATGATAAACGGATGGTACTAGAATTGGCAGACATGGATAAGTTTGGGGGTTTTTTGTTGGTTCTACACATAAATTGACTAGGATAGCTTACTTAGGAAAGATACCTGACTAAATGTATCCCAAAAATAGAAAAAGAAATTTATTTTTGTGGTCATTGTTGCCATGTAGGCAAGTTGAAAAAAGTAAAGAAAAAGAGGAGACGGGATGAAGAACTGTCTTCAGAGGAGTCACCACGACGCCACCATCACCAGACCAAAGTTTTTGCCAAATTTTCTCACGATACACCACCACCTGGGTCCAAGAAAAAGCATTTGACTATTGAGCAACTTAATGCACGTCGGCGGAAAGTGTGGCTTAGCATTGTTAAAAAGGAGCTGCCAAAGGTGAGCTTGGCTAATGGCACTATGTCAGTGATGATGTTGGCAAGAAAGTGAAATAGAAAATTAACTTAGTGAAGAGTGGACACTTGGAAAAACGGAGTGAACTAAGACCTGATTTTTCTGGTAGTCGTTAATGACCAAACCGATACTCTGTAATCGGTAAGCAGTGTAGTTCAAATTTCTTACCACCAATGATATCTAAGTGGATCATGCAGTGCTTTGCCACTGCTTTCATTTGGCTATACAACCCTTTTATATGAATAGTACAGTAAACTCTAGCAGCTACTCCTACTAATCTACAGGAAAGCAATGTAGAGCAAACCAATACCTAGGGTTTATGTAAGGTTCAGGAAAGGAGTGTTTCAATCATTGTTATGTGTGGTTTTTGAAACGTTTCAGAAGCAGTCTAGGGAAAAGCATTTGTGTCATTTAAAGGACGAATTTCAGGCACGTTTGAAATGGAAAGCTGTGTTCACTGTCTCTGGTTTTCTGAGATCTGATCAGAGTGGACCTTACAACCTGCTTTTTGGAGTTTGCAGTTAACAGACTTTGAATTCTAGGAAGTTGAATGAATGATAGCTAGAGCAGCGTCCTTTATGAATTTAGATGCCAGGCGAAGGATACATGCATCATGATAGACCTCAAAAGACTGATTTTGATCCTGTGAAGAACACAGGATCTACGTTAATCCTTAACATCTTTGGGAAACAGTGGAAATTGTTGTTGTTTACTTCAGTGATAACAGTGGAATAAGAGAACCTTGCTTTGCAATAGTAGTAGCTAGAGAAATGATCCTGAAAAAGGAGGTGTTTTACATGCTTCCTTCAGCAGTTGGAATACATTTATATATGCCTTCAATATTTAAGGATAAAAAGCTGTTTACGTCAAGATAAAAAATACTCACAGTACCTGTACCCAATTCTACAATAGTGTGCATGGCTGAGGATGACACGGTGTATCTGCTGAAGACTGGATAGTGATCTTTTAAAATACTGTGAAGCTATTACCGTTTAACTAATTGAAGATGATATTCTTTTATAGGCATACAAACAAAAAGCCTCGGCCCGCAACCTTTTCCTAACCAACAGCAAAAAGGTAAGTGTTGTTTAGCTTTATACTGTTACTTGTAGTGGATGTAATAAGCAGACTGTAACCTCTCTGTTTCTTCTGTTTCTTATAGTACTGACTATGCTAGCAGGGCAGTATAGGAGAAAGCATTGTATAGAAGTAATTTGTCATTTAGTATAAGGCTTTTCCTTTTTTACATGTATCATTTTGCCATGTTCCATAAGTAACAGATGAAAAGAGCAATGTGAATTTCTTTCATGAGATCTTTGTGGCTTTCATAAGATTTAGTTTGTACATTTTTAATTTACTGATCTTTGATCCAATAAATTAGTGACTTCTGTACACTTTGGCTTTTGAACTGCCCACCTATCCACTAGCTAGAATCTGCTGGTTTAAGCATTCTTGTTTAAATCAAAGGGGCTCTTGAAATATTAAAAGTGTTAATTTACATAAATATATGTAGGAGCTGAGATTAAAAATAGAGCAATTTTCTGCTTAAGTGATTGCAAAAGGAATCTATCTCCTCATCAGAGTCTTCTCTGAGAAATGTCATTCTTTCTACCTAGAAGGCTTTACTTTAGGAATGCTTGGTAATGGCTTTCTGAGCACTTTTCAAGTGTTACACTCAAGTGTCTGATTCATTTATATGGCTAATGAAAAGGTAATCAAGTATATGGCTGAGAATAATCAGAGACAAGATGATGTAGGAAATTTTCCCTTCTATATATACATTATCAAGAAAGGGAGCGTTTTCTGTGTAAAGGATGCAGAAAACAGGACCTGCATGTATATATTAAGAAACTTTCTGTAGGTAGGTCCTCTTCTGTGGTCCTCCTTAGCTAGCAGAGTGGCTTTCTTTGTGATGTCTGGGCAAATATCCTGTGATTGTTGTATTTGTGGGTATCACAAATTACATTTAGCAACAAGTGGTGCAGCGGACTTAAGAGGTTTTGAAATTCTTCTATTTTTTGTTTTCGTTTTGTTTGATCATTTGAAATCTGTGTTGGAATTGTTGATGTGCAAATTTTAGTGGAGGGAGAAAACCTGTCACAAACATCAAACCCAGCAATTTTGACCGCTATGACAATAGCATTAATTTATTTATACTAGAATGAAAAATTACAATGTATTATGCTTCTTCATGAGATGGTAGGAAAATTGTAGGATACTGCTCCACTTTTCAGTGTATTAACATGTGAATGGGATTGTATTCCACCAATAGTGCTATTATAGCAGCCTTATTAAAACAGTGGGAAAGCGTGGGTACCACAGAAAAGTGTCTCAAATAGATGAGTCAGAGTTGCAGGCAGCCCTTGAATTCTGCTCTCCTGTGTTCCTTTCAAGGACCTACCCAATCAAACCTAGATCAATCCTTTAAGTACCACACCATGCTGAAACTGTCTTCAGGTTTTGTCTTCACCATCTCAGGAGGTTTTTGGAAGTTCACGTTCTCTTGTGACATTTCAAAAGCATTACTGCTGAGTAAAGTAACACAGTGTTTCTCTTCTGAAGGATCAGACTTGGTTGTAATTAAAATTGATGTTTATTGCTGGCTTTCTTAAAAATCTACCCATTTTACCACTGTTTCCAAAATGTTATTTCGCTCTAGCTTGCCCATCAGTGCATGAGAGAGGTACGTCGAGCTGCTATCCAGGCCCAGAAAAACTGTAAAGAAACTCTACCACGAGCACGTCGTCTTACCAAGGAGATGCTTCTCTATTGGAAAAAGTACGAAAAGGTGGAAAAAGAACATCGTAAACGAGCTGAGAAAGAGGCTCTGGAGCAACGCAAGCTGGATGAGGAGATGAGAGAGGTACAACAAAAACACAGATTGCTGATACTTAATCTCTTGAGAAGACAGAGAAGTGACCAGATAATTTGAGTTTCTAAATCCAGGCCATGAAATTCAGTTATTTGTTCTGATTCAGCGGTATTCCACATATTTCTACTGTTATCTTAAAATTCTTTACATAATTCTTCTGATGTTAGCTAGAGGTGATAAAGAAAGCCTTCAAGCTCCATAAATTCTTTACAAGTGAATGAAATGGAGGAAGGGATTAGACAGGCAGTGTCTCACAGACATACGTAACTCAGTAAGGGCCAGGCTTTTGTGATGGTTTGTACATCATTCTGGGTACAGAAGGCAAGCTACCTTTTCATTCACTGAATTTTCTTTTTTTTTTTTTTCCTCTTTTTCCCACCCTGCTGTAAACTGATGTCATCATTTATATATGAGGCACAGAATTTTTCTGCAATTGCTTTTTTGTTGGCCAAGTGACAGCCTCATGGACTCCCTTAACAGAATAATAGGGGCTGAATTTAAGAAAAAGCTTTCTTGCCAAAGCTCTCTAATGGATTTATGGTTATTAGCTCACATGTGTAGTGATGAGCTAAGGCTGAATCTTTAGAATACCTTATGTTTAGTTTTATGCTCAAATTATGCTTTTATTTATTGTGTTCCTCTCATTCTTGCAAGTACATAAGCATTTTGTGAAGGTTTCCGCTGACTTAGATTAATAGACAACTTCTAAGTATAGCATTTTTTTTCACCAGAACCTAAGAACAAACAGATTTTCTGCAACATCTTACTGAACCATGATAATATCTCAACTGTATTACCTAGTATTCTACCATATTTCTCTTTACTAGTAAAGAACAGAATGTTGGAGTTATGTTGTCATGAGAGGGGTTTTTTTAGCTGTTCAGTTCTTTTACTGTAGACCACTAAAATCTTGTTTATTTTTGTCAATCTTTTAAAGTGTAAACAAAACTTTTAAACTTTCTTTTATTAGATTATGGTATTCTTTGCTGATTACTGAATTTAAAATAACTTTTCATTTACAACTATTTTGTATTTTAATGGTGGCGGTCAGTGTTCTTACATGCAAATAGTATTCTAGTGTTTTGATATTACAGTGATGTGCATAATTAATCTGGATTAATTGTTGATATATTATTACATTAATTTTTTTGTTTAATTACATTTTAAACATTAATCCTTTGTCCTGGTTTTTTTGGTTGTTTGGGGTTTTTTTTTTCTTAATCTGTGTTTTGTGTATGCTCTTCTCTTAGGCCAAGAGGCAGCAGCGAAAACTTAACTTCCTGATCACACAAACTGAATTATATGCCCATTTTATGAGTCGTAAACGAGATATTGGACATGATGGAATACAGGAGGAAATCCTACGCAAACTGGAAGACAGCTCTACCCAAAGGCAGATTGATATTGGTGGAGGAGTAGTGGTCAACATCACCCAAGAAGATTATGGTAAGCAATTCATATACAAACTTTCCTGTGCACTGTTTTGAAATTTACTGTATTCTGCACCTTATCGCGCAAACTTACTATTTCAAGCACAAAATCTTTCTATTCTATGTGAGAAGCACTGCCATAATTACTGGAATTTACCTGTGTGTTAATTTGGGTGGTTACTGCTGCAGAGCTCTAACACGGAGATGTTGTTTTCAGATAGTAACTATTACAAGGCCCAAGCTCTGAAGAATGCTGAGGATGCTTACCAGATTCATCAGGCCCGGGTATGTATTCTTTGGATCCGTGAAGTGGAGGAGAAAGAGTAATTGGTAAAGGCCACAGAACCAGGATCTTTCATAGCGGTCGAGTAGGTTTGTTTAATCCTGGGTGCTACATTTTAATTTAATTCCATTGCCGTTTTCTGTGCTAAACAGCTAGAAAAACAGAATATAAGGATTTGGGTGATAGGAACAGGCTTGTTTTCTGATAGTTTCTGGCAGACATCCTATGTCTTAATGTGAAGTGTAAAGCCTTTTTTCGTATACAGTTTCTTGATAAATTAGTATGTTTGTCATCTTATGCATACTTTCCTCTTCCTATTTAGACCAGATCATTTGATGAAGATGCAAAGGAGAGTCGGGCAGCTGCTTTACGAGCTGCTAACAAGTCTGGTACTGGCTTCGGAGAAAGCTACAGTTTAGCAAACCCGTCTATCCGGGCAGGAGAGGATATTCCACAGCCTACTATTTTCAATGGAAAACTGAAAGGTTACCAACTGAAAGGCATGAATTGGCTGGCCAACCTATATGAGCAGGTATCTTAGTACATCTTGCAAATTTTTAAAAGTTCTAGGATTATTTAAGTCATTAGAGTAAACCTGATCAAAAAAAATTAACGGTTTTAACAAAAGACCACGCATACTAGATCTGTAATGTCTTTAGAAGAAAGTAAAATATTACATGAGCCGCATATCAGTATTCTTGATTGTTTAGGAAATAACAACTTTGAATGGGGCATTACGTTCAAAATTATTTATGTGGATGTTTATACAACTGTTTATCACTTAGATTATACACTGAGGAAACTTTTGCTGCTCAGAGCTGCATACTGTTTCAGGCTTTGGTCTGCTGGTAAACTGCAGGCAGCCTTGTCCCAGCATACTTAGTTGGCAATGTGATTGCCAAGTGCCAACAGGCTGAGGAAAAACACCAGCCAGAGAAATGAATGAAAGTGCAGTTGAGATAAATTATCTCTTGGTAAAAGACATAAGAGACAATAAGGTGTTTCAGAGTTGTTACACTGGGGCTGCTTCCCCTAAATTCAGTGGCAACCATTCTGCTAGTCCTGTATGCATTAAATAGTAGTAAGCTGAAAGGTGTTCATTTCTGGATCTTTTGCAGGGCATCAATGGAATCCTGGCAGATGAAATGGGTCTGGGTAAAACAGTACAAAGTATTGCTCTTCTTGCACATCTGGCTGAGGTAGGTGGATTATAGCTTATTCCTGCTCACTGTGCTTGATAGAAGATGCATGCTTTTCACGTGTTTGAAATGAATTCTAGATTATAAAGCTTAAATGCCTTAAAAGACATTTTAGCTATGGTGTTTCCCTTTGTTTTAAAGCTGCGCCTTTGAAAGGGGGTGTGTCTGTGTAGATACCTGTGTGTGTATGTATATATATAAACAGAAATGGAATTTTCATTTATTCACAGAATAATACCATTTCATTTGCGCTTAACGTGAAAGCCTGATAAGAGAACAAGATGTAGACTTCATGGTTCACTGACTTGTACAAATCAGAGACTTGTAGAAATGAAGCCCAAGTTCTGAGCTTCATGGCAATCAGCGTGGATTTCCATATTTGTGGTTTTTTTCAGGAAGCATAGTTATTTTTCTGTGCCAGGGCAGACAAACAAAAAGGAAAAAGCAACAGGAGCTTACTTCTTTATGCAGAAATAGGTATCTTTCTTTTAAAAAAAAAAAAGAGTCTTGGTTGGCATCCAGTCACTTGCCTTAAATAGGAGATATCAACCAAGTGATATTGAGAGCAGAACTAGCTGCAGTAGTGACCAAATGACAATTATGTGCATTTGTTTGTGTTCCTTTTGATACTAGTTCACTGGCGCTATCAACCGCAATAGTGGAAGAGTGTGCAGAGCCAAAGGCTCTTGAGCTCATCCATGTGGAAGGGATAACAGGCTTGTCATCTTGTTTCACTGCTACTTGAGATTTTTGGAAGCCTACACAGGGTTTTTACTTTTTCTGGCTCTCCCTTCTGCAGGCCAGCTTGTAACTACCAATACACTAATGACCCAACTTTCTTGGTCAGCAGAGGTCATTCTAATGTGGTGTGATGTGATGGAGAAAAGCTTGCCAGTGCCACCTGAAGTTATTTTCCTCCCTGAAGTGACAGGGGCTGTTAGTAATGTGAAGGTGGCAACTTTCAGAAACAAAGGAGCAAGCCGGATTGAAACAATGGTGATTGTTCTGGTTTGCTGTTATGAAATAAGTCTTAGTTAAAGATTAGGTCTGTATCACCCTGTTGTGCTGGGAGGAAGTTTTGTTATCTTGCATATAGTTCCTTCTCTCATGTAGCCACTGTCATTTAGTAGTTGTAAACCTGTATCAAACTGTCTCTGAGTCCCTTCCCCACAATTAATTTCTGTGTGTCTTTTTTTTTAATGTGTATATTCCAGAGAGAGAACATCTGGGGACCTTTTTTAATAATTTCACCCGCCTCTACTCTTAACAACTGGCACCAGGAGTTTGCCAGATTTGTACCTAAATTTAAGGTAATAAGCATATGCAAGAAAATTATTTCTGTTTTCTCAAAAGCAAACTGTTCTCCTGAGTTCTTTGCCACATCTGGATGCCTAATTGCCTTGGAATTTGAAACTCTGTAATGGGTCTGATTCTGATTTATCTTTTTCTCCATCATCCTGTTTTTTCTGGAGCATTCAGTTATCTAGGGTTTAAAAGTGTTCTTACTTGAATCACGTGATTTTCATTTTGCATCAGCTTGAAGACACCTTCTCAGTGAGGAATTGAAGTGGGGCAGTGAGTGGATGTTCAGTTGTAATGTGTGGGCGTGTCAGCAGATACAAGAAAGTATTTCATTCTTATGCACTGTCTTTAGGGTTAGAACTGTTTTCAGTCATTCATAGCGATTCGGGTAAGATAAAGATTGTATGTGAACAAAACTGAACTCTAAACAGATTAGCAGGAGAGAGAATGTAGATGTTATTACAGAAAAATAGAAGAACCATAGACCTACAACCAATAACCAAGAAAAAGGAGAGAAGTGAGGCACAAATAGATAAGAACAAAAAGAAGAAAATAAATGGAGTTCTTCAGGTATATTGTGAATGTGAAAACATAGTAAGGTAGAAAGCAAGGAACGATCAGTTACTGAAAAACAAGCTGCTTACCTATTCTCCAGTGGAAAACATTGGAGTGTTGCAAAGGAAGATTTTAAAAGCACATGTACTGCTGAAACTGCTGAAATTTTAGAATTAAAGATAGATAGAAGTGTCAGAAGCTTGCAGTTATATCTGCAAAGAAGAATAGATTATAGTTTAAATATTTGAGTTGTTAATGTAGTAACCTGTGATACGAAGAGGTCTTGATCAGGTTTTTTTTAAAACATCTGATTTTCTTTTTTACAGAGAACATGTAAGAGCAGTAAAAGACACCTAGTTATAAATAACCAATATACCAGTAACATCCAGGCTAATTGTTTGAATCTCTTTGCTACTTAATAAGATGGAGGAAAAGACTTGGAACTATTACTATAAGTAATATTTGATTTCTTGATCTGGGGTAGGGCAGTATTAAAGGACTTGCCTTTCACCAAATGGTTTGCTCTGTAGATCTCTGGTGAGACTGTACGTTGGTTACAGTGGTGTATAGTTCGAGGCATCTATATGAGAAATTGTAGTATTGAACGTAGTTCAATAATGTGTATATTCCAGAGAGAGAACATCTGGGGACCTTTTTTAGTCCCCAGAAGTATTGAACATAGTTCAATACTGGATGATTTGAATGGCTTATGTTTTGGGATAAATTGGGATTACTGAGACCTTAAAGAAACTGATGAAGAAATAGAAATGCTTAAGTTAGTAAGGAGTTACTTAAAAAAAACCCCTTAAAACAATCCATTTATGTATTTGCATAGCCCATAGCAATAGGAGCCCTGATTAAAACTCCTGGAGTACAAAACATTAGAGCAGTTGGCTATTCTGCCTGCTTACTCTCATTTCCTTTAATGAGTTCATTGTATAGAATAGCCAAGCAACTGTTTATGCTTTCTCCTTCTTATGAATGAAATACAGAAAACATTCCAAAAATGCAGTCAGAATGCTTGTGAAAAGATAATTTTCCCTTTTTTTTATTTAAAAAATCTGTTTCTGTCATTATATAGCTGTTCCTTGGGTTTATTGCATAATAATGTTTACCTCATCCATGGAACAGAACAGAAGTTTTCTAAACTTATGATTGTTACATAATTACAAGTTTGATCAATCTTTTTTTAACCAGTTTTGTTCCTGCTTCTAATCATACACGAGTGCTTCTAATCGTACAGAAGTGTGTAGTCAATTACACTTCTAAAATCACAGTGAATTAATTTCTTCACGTCCATGGCAGAATATGTAAACTAAAAGGCAAATCACTTTTTTGGTTAGTCTGATGGTTTTTTACTAGCATCCTTATTTCAGAACAGTTGGAAGAATATTCAACTAAAGGCACTTTGCAATTTGGAGCTTGTCAGTTGAAGGGTGGAGATTTTTGAGACCTTTTGCTATTCCTGCCTTTGTCTTAGTTGCATGTAGTCCTTTCATCAGACAGAAGGTGGCAGTATGATATTATTAACCAGTAACTTTGGTTTCAGGGCACTGCAAAGATCCGTTTTGAGTAATAGGACCCATGGCATTCTGAGCTATAAATGGCTTAACAGATTTCTCTGGCAGTTGGACTTTTTAAAATTCTTATATTAAATATGTCCATGACATTTTAACTTTATCTCAGATTTTTGGGGCCACTTCTGAAATATAAAACCAGGAGGACAACCAGGAACGTTAAACAGAACGAGCCCACTAGTCCTCTAAGGTTAACTGTAGCAGTTGAGGGCAGACCTCTTTCTGCTATAAACAAAATACCATTTTTAATTTTTAGGAAAACCTGACTAGAAGGTATAATGCGCTACTGCGCATTTTGAGTTTCTTACTGTAGCTTGATCTAATCTTTGTACTAGGCATAAGTTGCTTGATACCTTTGCCTGGAATGCTCTGTTTCTAAGTATTTTAAAGTGCTTTCTGATTTTTCTCTGTGTTAAGAAATATAATTTCCCTTTTTGTTGTTTTGGAGAAGGAGGTCTGTCTTTGTAATTTTGTAGAATATGTAGTATAAAATTCGAGAACAGGTTTATCGTTACTTGAAAATAATGTCTTTCTGCTTTTGTACTGTTCCAGGTGCTACCTTACTGGGGAAATCCCCATGATAGAAAGGTGATCAGGAAGTTCTGGAGTCAGGTAATACTGGCGTGCCCGTGTGCTTTGACCATTTTTGTTATTTGTGAAGAGTAAACCAGAAACTGTTGCTGCACCCCACCAAGCTAAATGATGCATAGATACAGAGTTCTGTTTCTTCATCCGTGTAGTAGCATTTTCCTTAAGATAATGAGGTAGAAGGCTTCTCTTGTGCTGGAGAGCAATACAGTACAGAACAATTCAGGCAGTATGGAGTTCAGTTGGAGATACTAGAGCTCCGTAAATAAAGCAGGAAGTGTCAGCATCAAGGACTGTTTATTCTATTTGAGTAACCTAACTCAGGATGCCCAAGTCTAGCATCCCTGCAGGCCTGTCAGATTGTTCCTGATTTAACCCCAGGATTTTGTAGGGTTCAATGTCTGGGTCTTGTCTGGCGCATTAAGAAGCATCTGAAATTGTTCAGGGACTAATGGGCTGAAGTCCAGATCTGCCAGTTGAATAACTGTGCTGTAATTAATTAAAAGTCAGCTGGGGAAAAATGCAGTAATAATGAGAGAAGATTATGAAACAGAAGCCTGAAATTAGAGTATACACAAGTGAACTTTTCACAATGTATTTACATTATGTGGACATTTGTTTCTGATTTTGTGGTTATAGAAGACATTGTATACTCAGGATGCTCCTTTCCACGTGGTAATTACCAGTTATCAGCTAGTAGTACAGGATGTGAAGTATTTCCAGCGAGTGAAGTGGCAATATATGGTGCTGGATGAAGCGCAAGCACTCAAGAGTAGCTCCAGGTAATAAATTAACTGGAAACAAAATCTTCCCTCCGTATCAGCATCTCGAAGGAATATCAAGAAAACATCAAGATTACACAAATTGGTAGAAGTTAAAGTTGACACACATAAGACTCTTTAAGTGTCTAACTTAGTTAAGTGTCTGTATAACTCTATGGCACTGGATTGATCCACTAGTTTTTTGCATTTAGATTTTCCTTCTCCAATTAAAAAGTAATTGTGGAGCAGAAACTTAGATGGATGGTTGAACAAAACAGTGTAAAATGCTGTTCACCTTCTGTGCTGACTACTCAGAGAATTCTGCCCAGTGAACAGTCTGTAGTCTTTAGTGTGTATTGCTTATATTGGCTCCGTGAAATGCATTCTTTTGATTCCTCTTTCAGTGGCACTTCCAGTCACAAATGAAGGTCAGAACCCTGTGAATACTGTTGGCTGCAATAAAGCCCAATCTTTGTCATGAGACTGTGCCAGAAAGTTTTCTGGTTGTTTTCAAGCAATAGATTTGTCTGTCTTTACTTCTGTAAGTGCTTTCCCATAACCTTTGTCCAGTTGCCACTGCACACAGCAAGTTAAAGACTGCTTTAGATGCAGACTCATTCTGACCAAAGTCTGTCTCTTCAGCATTCTTGGAAACTGCCCCTCCGAGAGGATTGTAACGTATAGCTCTGCATGCCTGCCACACTGGCCCATACACTTAGTGTTGTAAAGTCTGAAAAATACATGACGTTCTGATTCATTATAACTGTTTCTTTTGGGAAGTTAATTATTCTGATGATGAGATTTTATTGGTATCCAAGTAGTTGAATAAAAAATGAGTAAAAAGATACTCAGAAAAAGAAAATAAATTATGCATGTTTCTTTGTAATTTGTAAAAGGCTACTTCTTCCTGTAATTGTCTTTTGAAAGACTGGCGAGTAGCTGTGATAGTTTTACCCAGTGACCTCCAAAAATCATTTGGGAAGGTGACTGGAAGCAATTGGTCTTAAAATACCTTATGTTTCATGTCCATCTACCAAAAAAACGGTTTTAATGATTTTTCTTAATCTTTTTCATCAGTGTTCGTTGGAAGATCCTACTACAGTTCCAGTGTCGAAACAGATTGTTGTTGACTGGGACCCCAATCCAGAACACAATGGCTGAGGTATTTGGGAGCTCATAAGAGTGGACTTTTCTTTATAACAAGAATATATACTAAATATACATGGACAGTTAAGAAACCTGTTGTATTTGTGTGGTTGTGGGATCATGCTTGTAGCAAACCACTGGCAAACATGTGGAATCAGCTCTGGGAGGGGAAAATTTGGAAGTGTGTCATGCATTCAAATAAAAATAAAGCTGAAGATACCTGATAGATAGTAATACCTAGATTACAAGATGAAATCTAATTCTTGTGGCTTTTTCTTCTGTTGCCTGAAATTGCTCGGCTATATTTCTCACTGCTTTCTAATGGTGTTTTGTTAAGTTGATATATCTGGCATTTGTCCAGGGGGGAAGGATGTGGCTGGGTTTTTGTTTAGTTGTGCCATGTCTCATAATCCGCTAAAGTGATTTTGCTCATAAAGAGCTGCAAGGGTTTAGGATCCCCAGTTACCGTGTCCACAGTAGGGTGACATTTGCTGATCTACTGTTCTCTCCTCTGCTTTTAGCTGTGGGCCCTGCTGCATTTTATCATGCCAACACTGTTTGATTCCCATGAAGAGTTCAATGAGTGGTTTTCTAAGGACATAGAGAGCCATGCAGAGAACAAATCCGCCATTGATGAGAGTGAGTGCAGTGTGTAACTCAGTAGTTTTTATATTAAAAATCTGTTGTCTTTTCCAACTACTAATGGATAAACTTTCTGTCTCATTTTTTGTATGAGAAATGTCTTCTAAAGCAGAGGTGCGTAATGGGATTGGAATGTTAGGCATTGTCCATGGTTTATGGCAAAGTTTGTGTTTCTGACTGTAATGTACCATGTGTAATGAATAGAAAAACATGTCCTGCAAATGTTGATTTGTTACCTGTCTCCAGTCCTCCTCCTTCCCAAACACAGGAGAAGAACAAATATTTTAAATACTTGTAAGTTTCTGCAGAGCACATCATCTTGGAGATCTCAGTGTGTTAAGCGCTAGACATAAAAATTATGACACAAAGCACTGAAGACCTCTTGAGTGCCAGAAGAAAATCATAACAGTTCTTTAAAAAAAAAAAAATTTCAAAGTCAATCTTAGGGGATAATTCTGTAGAAAAATCTGTCTAGCTAAAATAGCTGATTTGTAATTGGAGTAGAACACAGTACAGTTGGAACTTCTCACAGAAGTCAAGACTGTAGGAGTTCCCAAATACCCAGAACTTTGTTTTTACAGGGTATCATAAAGACTGCAGTTGTCTGTCAGTGTAGTATGGCATGGTTTTGTGATGCTATAATTTTGGGGGGGGTTGAGACTTAAAACTGTAATGATCTCTTTTCATGAATTAGCGATGTCTCATCTGAAATCTTCTTCTTCACTAATAGTGAGTGATAAATTTAAGCCCATATTGTTCAGCCCAGAGGAATACAGAACACATAAAATGCCTTAGAAGTTCATTCTTTGAAGCAAATCTTTAGATTCATAAGTTAAACAGTGTGGCTTGGCACTCATTTAAAAAAAATCAACAGAGAAATGCCAACTCTATGCTATAAGAACTCATATAGGGGGACATGGCTGAGCAGTAAGGGACTTAATTTGTCATAGAACACCATGTAGTTTTCATCTTGGGTGAAGTAATTGTTCCTTCTTTCCCATTCCCTGTATTTCAGATCAGCTATCCCGCTTGCACATGATCCTGAAGCCTTTCATGTTGAGAAGAATCAAGAAGGATGTGGAAAATGAGCTGTCAGATAAGGTGAGAAAAAGTATTTGTCTGGAATGAGTATTTCAACTTTATTGTCATAGCTCTGTTCTCTAATCTGGTTTTTGCAAACTCATTTGTCAGTCTGTGTACCTGAAATTTGATTGTAGACCTTTCACAGACCTTCAATTTCTGGCACCACATCGCAGTAATCTCATTAAATGTGAATGTAACTGAAGAACCCCTAATTAATAAACTTTTCTTCTAGGGAAGACATTTCGTTAACAGTTACAAATAAAAATCTTTAAGCCTGATTAAGTTGACAAATATTGCCAATTGAAGTGAAGGAGATCAATACACCAATGATTAGGTGATAAACATCTCCAGTTGCCTTTTTGAAGGATTTCGCATGGGTTTAGGATTATTTTTGTTTTGAAATGCATAGTGGCAACATAGAATCATAGAATGGTTAGGGTTGGA